ATGAATAAATAAATAAAATCTTAAATAAATAAATAAATAAATAAATAAATAAATATTACCAACAATCAAAAAGCAATTTTGATTCTTTAATTATTATGTAATATTGTTTGAATGAATAAACCAAGAATTAAGATGCAAGGGGTACAATTATAACTGTCGAATAATAAAAAAACAAAGAAAGTAGTTACAACTAGAGCAATAAGTTTTTTCCTTGCAAGCTAAGCAAGTTCGTCCCACAGGACTGTGATAACAATTGGCCATCTGTATTTGTACTCCTATAAAAGTTACTGAGGGGCGCCTGGGTGGCTGAGTGGCTAAGCATCTGCCTTCGGCTTGGGTCATGATCCCAGGATCCTGGGATGGAGCCCATCGGGCTCCCTGCTAATCAAGGAGCCTGTTTCTCCCTTTCTCCTCTGTCCCTTCTCCCTGCTCGTGCTCTCTCTCAAATCACTAAATAAAATCTTAGACCTACACCTCCATTCTTTAAAAGGGGTGAAGGAGGGATCCCTGGGTGGCGCAGCTGTTTGGCGCCTGCCTTTGGCCCTGTGTCTCTGCCTCTCTCTCTCTCTCTCTCTGTGTGACTATCATAAATAAATAAAAATTTAAAAAAAAATAAATAAAAGGGGTGAAGGAGATAATATGCAAAATCACAACTTATCTTGGACATTATCAGAGAGCTGATGCCAGAGATCAACCAACTACTGTAAAATCAGAAAAGGCAGGTGCTCCAAGGAGAGATATAAGGCAAGCATTTCTTACTTGAAGCAAACACTGGATGTCATAAGGGCCAGTAAGAAAAATTTGGCTAGGGGATCCCTGAGTGGCTCAGCACTTTAGCACCTGCTTTTGGCCCAGGGTGTGACCCTGGAGTCCCGGGATCAAGTCCCGTATCGGGCTTCTTGCATGGAGCTTGCTTCTCCCTCTGCCTGTATCTCTGCCTCTCTCTCTCTCTCATGAATAAATAAAATCTTAAAAAAAATTTTCAGCTAAATGTTAAAAATACTGCCAAATCAGCAGTTATCTGGGGCTGACAATGGACAGAGGGCACAGTGACAAAAGGAAAGGTGGGGGAGGTTTGAGGGAGGTAATTGGAACTGTCCCATACCCTAACTATGGTGGCTACAGGACTATATGCATTTGCCAAAACTCACAAAACAGCAATAAGGTAGAAGAACAATCTGTAATGGGGGAGTTTACTATATGCAAAATTTAATTTTTTAAAGTTTTTTTTTTTTTAAACTTTTGCACTTTTTTTTTATTTTTTTTATTTATTTATGATAGTCACAGAGAGAGAGAGAGGCAGAGACACAGGCAGAGGGAGAAGCAGGCTCCATGCACCGGAAGCCCGACGTGGGATTCGATCCCGGGTCTCCAGGATCACACCCTGGGCCAAAGGCAGGCGCCAAACCGCTGCGCCACCCAGGGATCCCCAATTTTTTAAAGTTTTTATTTAAATTCCAGTTAGTTACCATACAGTGTAATATTAGTTTCGTGTACTATAGAGTGAATCAACATTTCCATACAAAACCCAGTGCCCATCAGGACAGGTGCACACCTGACTCCCCATCACCTATTTCCCCATCCTCTCCCTCGCCTCCCCTCTGGTGACCATCAGTGTGTTCTCTAGACTTTGGGTCTGTTTCTCAGTTTGTCTCTCTCTTTTGTACCTTTGCTCATTTGTTTTGCTTCTTATATTCCACATGAGTGAGATCATATGGTATTTGTCTTTTCCTGACTGACTTATTTCACTTAGCCTCATATCCTCTAGCTTCATCCCCATCACTGCAAATGGCAAGATCTCACCCTTTCTGATGGCTGAGTAATACTCCATTGTATATATAGACCACATCTTCTTTATCCATTCACCAGTTGCTGGACATCTGGGCTCTTTCCATAGTGTGGCTATTATGGACATTGCTGCTATAAACATCAGGGTGCAGGTGCCCTTTTGAATCACTACATTTGTATCTTTGGGATAAACACCTAGTAGTGCAATTGCTGGGTCACAGGTCATAGTTCTATTTTTAACCTTTTGAGGAACTTCCATACTGTTTTCCAGTGGCTGCACTGATTTCATTTCTACCAGCACTGCAGGAGGGGGTTCTCCTTTCTCCATACCCTTGCCAACACGTGTTGTTTCTTGTGTTGTTGATTTCAGCCATTCTGATAGGTGTGAAGTGGTATCTCATTGTGGTTGTGATTTGTGTTTCTCTGATGATGAGTGATGTTGAGCATCTTTTCACCTGTTAGCCATTTGTATGTCATCTTCAGAGAAATGTCTGTTCATGTCTTATGCCCATTTTTTAATTGGATTATTCATTTTTGGAGTGGTGAGTTTTTTATGTTCTTTATATATTTTAAATACTAACCCTTCATCAGATGTGTCACTTACAAATACCTTCTCCGAATCCATAGGTTGCCTTTTACTTTTGTTGGTTGTTTCCTCCGCTGTACAAAAGCTTTTTATTTTGATGAAGTCCAATAGTTTATTTTTGCCTTGGTTCACTTTGCTTCAGGAGACATATCTATAAACAAGGGCTATGGCCAATGTCAGAGAGGTTGCCACCTGTATTCTCCTCCAGGATTTTGATGGTTTCAGGCCTCAAATTTAAGTATTTCATCCATTATGACTTTATTTTTATGTATAAGGAAGTAGTCCAGTTTCCTCCTTCTGCATGTGGCTATCCAGTTTTCCCAACACTCATTTGTTGAGGAGACTGTTTTTTTTTCCTCCCAGTCGATATTCTTTCCTGCTCTGTCGAAGATTAACTGACCATATAGTTGTGGGTTCATTTCTGGGTTTTCTATTCTGTTCTATTGATCTATATGTCTATTTTTGTGCCAATACCATCCTGTCTTGATGACTACAGTTTTGAAATATAACTTTAAGTCAGAATTGTTATGGTTCCTACTTTGTTCTTTTTTTTTTTTCTCAAGGTTGCTCTGGCTATTCGGGGTCTTTTGGAAAATTTGTGGTTCCATACAAATTTTAGGATTGTTTTTTATAGATCTGTGAAAAAATGCTGTGATATCCTATATAGAAAACCTGAAAGACTCCACCAAAAAACTGCTAGAAATAATAAACAAATTCAGTAAAGTCACAGGATACAAAATCAATGTGCAGAAATTTGCTGCATTTCTATACACCAATAATGAAGCAGCAGAAAGAGAAATTAAGGAATCAATCCCATTTACAGTTGCACCAAAAACAATAAAATACCTAGGCATAAATCTAACCAAAGAGATGAAACACTTGTATTCTGAAAACCATAAAACACTTATGAAAGAAACTGAGATGACACGAAGAAATGGAAAGGCATTCCGTGCTCATGGATTGGAAGAACAAATATTGTTAATATGTCTATACCGCCCAAAGCAATCTACACATTTAATGCAATACCTATCAAAATACCAACTGTATATAAACTTTTTTTTAAAAGAATCCTTGTTTTAGAAGGCAGAAGATCTGACAGCTAACCCAAGGTCTCTACTGTTACTGCCTACTCCTCCCATAGGACAGAAGCTTGGTATTGGCGATGCACAAGCCTCCACAACCTCTGTGAAGCAGCACTTTAATAAAGTACCACCAGAGTAAGTAATTTCCCAGTAAAATTCACAATGCCTAAGTGAAATGTAAATGTGCACTTTGCGACTCTTTGTGAGTATCCATGTAAGCCACTCCCAGGAAGAACAAACAAGGCCCAGCTGATCTTGTGTCAGGCAACAGGCTGCTTTACCCGCTGGCCAACCACCTCACTGCTCCACACTAGTCAGCTACTCAAGTGGCTCAGACTCACAATCTGGCGGAATGACGAATCATATTTGTCATAGGCCTGTGGCATCCTCTGCAAACAGCAGAGAATCCAATCATCAAGTCTGCAAATGCCATAGAAAAAAGACCTTAAAGCAATTTGAAAAGTTGGAGCAGGGATCCCTGGGTGGCGCAACGGTTTGGCGCCTGCCTTTGGCCCAGGGCCTGTGTCTCTGCCTCTCTCTCTCTCTCTCTCTCTCTCTGTGACTATCATAAATAAATAAAAAAAAAAAAAAAAAAGAAAGAAAAGTTGGAGCAGTGCAAGCCCCCTCCACCTGAAGGTGTGATGTCTGAAGCATGCCACACCATCCTGGGAAAGGGCTGGGCTAAGTTAGGACTTGCCCCGGCCACTGTCAGAGTCTCAAGAGCCACCTCAAAGAAGTATCACAAATTTTTAAGGGATTATGAAGAAAATGTCTACACAGGATCTACCTCGTTAGGATTTCAATAGATGAAGGATAATGCCATGAGGAAAAATAAGATTTCCTCTCTTTAATAGCAGAGAATTACCCTAAGAGTAGCATAGGATAAAGCAGAGAAGAAAGAGCAACATAAACAGAGTAAAAACATAAAGAGCAAAACTCACAGTCGTGGCAATGAACCGAACCACTTCACTGACCTCAGAACAATACTACTCACTAGTATCCACCACCTCCCACTACACTAAGATAGGATTTATTAATTATATAGTCATTTGGCTTTATCGCTTACAGCAGTTTTATCATAGAATTCTATCATAAGAATACCTATAATCTTTGGAAGACAATTTAGGTTTTTGGAATTCCTTAATTATTGTACCAAAACAAGAGCAAGGGCTTCTCTCACTCTTAGCTTAAGGCTTCTATTTTAGCTAGATGTTAGTAAAATGATTCCAAATAATGAGTAGCTAAACTTCCAGTTTTGACTTTTTTCCATGTACAGAACTGAACAGAACATGCAATTCATCCTGTGTTTTCTAGATCAGTCTTCTTACTCACTGATGCTTATCAGAATCGCCTGGTGGGGGGATGCTCCCCAACACACACACACCTTGTACCTATCCCACACCCACTGAATCAGATTCTCTACAGTAAGAACCAAAGGACATTTAAAAAGCTCCTGGGAGATGTTCCTGCACACACACACCTGGCTGTAATCATCACTCTAGACACACTTCTAACAGTCACTGTGCCTAAAAAGAATTACTTACTTGTTACAATCCCAGCCAAAGCAAACACAAACTGATTTTCATCAGAATCAAGCTCCTTGACATCCCCATCCAGTGACTTCACAAAACTCTCCATTGTTTGACCGGTGATACTGAAAAACTTCAAAGCTTTATCCTGAAAGTTTGGAAAGGAAAGTATCACACCCCTGCACAAATACTCGTACAATACTTTATAAGAGTACAAGCACACAAAAGGAAGACTCTGTTTTAATTACAGAAGCAGTATTTAAAAGTCTGCTCCTTCATTACAAGTTCCCATATCAAAAAGAACAGAAAAAGGAAGTTTGGAATCTGTAGAAAAATTACCCTGCAGACAGATAGAAAGAGCAAAATAAAATATATGTGAGGGAACAGCACAAATTTATACAGTGGTGGAAGTGTTAGGGTGAGTTCACCCAAAATACTCTAGGAATATGCTAGAAAAATATGTTCTCTGTTGGTTCTTGGCATGAAACCACAGGCTTCAACCATGGGAGAATGGATTTTCAAACAAAATCTTAACAGAAACTTCAACATGTCAAGAGATGAAGGCAGTAAGCAGGCTTCTTGGGCAGTTTAAATCTTCATTACTTAGGAGAAGTCCCTCCAAGTATGTAGAACCTCTGAAGCACTTCCTGGGGTGTCAGGGTTCTAAGGAATAGCGTAAAAGCTAACACATTTACAAATGGAACAAGGCAACTTCATGGGCTGATATAAATGAACTAAGACTGGGTTGTGGTGATGATTACACAGCTCTGGAAATGAGCTAAAATCACTAAATTGTACGCTCACAGATGGGTGAATCTTATGATGTGTAAATTACACCTGAATAAAGCTCAATAAATGTTAAAACACAATTTCTCCACCTAAAGTCACACACAATTATTTCTCTACGTCATAAGTAATTTATTGCTGGCCTCGTATCTGTATCTCTGTCCACAAGCACACCCCTCTCCTAGAATGCAGCCACAAGCTCTCTGGCCCCTCTCGTCCTCTGGCACCACACTTGCCTTCCCTGCCCCCCACAGCAGGGTACTGCGTGAGCCACTCGGAGGGCCTTTCAGTTAGTCTTCCTGTCTTGTCCCCATGCCCACACTGCTCCTACCTACCCTCACTCGAGGTCAGGACAATCTCCCTGAAGTCTCTCTTTCCACCGTTCTTTTACTCAAAACCCTCAGAAATCCAGCCTTACCACCTACCAGATAAAATCAGCAACCTAGCATCTGAGGTCTTCCAAAATCACATTCCATCCTCCTCCTGGATCATTATCTCCCCATAACTTTACCACACTAGCCCTCCACTCTCTGTCAGCAGACGTGGGCACCATCCCTAAAACTAACTTCAGGATTCTCAGCCCATGCCCTTGATTATGCTACCTCTCCCCTCCCCATTTTCTGCCCTTGCCACCTATTCAAGTTAATCAAAGCCCATTTCAAATCTCTCTTCTTCTGGGAAGTTTCCTGAGTGTGGATGTGTGTGGATGTGTGTGTGCACTATTAATACATATGTTAAATAACACGTAACTTTAAACAAATCAAGTATTATGGTACCTGTGGGGTAACATACATAGAAGTACTTTAAACTTTGTTAAGTGTGTGTAGGTCAAGCAATGATATGGAAGCGGTACTATCTCCACAAATACCATACAGGTTCTGGGAGAGTAGGTGTCTTATTTCTTCCATTTTACGCACCCCCTAGAGCACCAGCTTACAGTGGACCCTACATACTGGTATGCCACCACTGTCTGATGAACGAACGTAAGACATGGATTTCATCTGTAAATGCCTTCGTACACACTGTACCCTCTGTGTCCCATAATCACTGATCAACAATATCCAGGGAGCCCAGCAGTCGTGCTTACTCCTCCCAGAATGGCTTTGACGACGTCCTCACTACTGGAGACACCCCACAAAAGGGTGCAGGCTGCTGCTCCCATTTCTGTACAGTATTCTGCTTGTTGCAGGAGCTGCTGCTTTGCTTCATTCAGCTGCTGTCGAAGAGCAAGTTTCTCCTAAAATCAAAACAAAATGAAATCAGCAAAATGAACAGCATTCAACTTTAAAATACCTCTATTGTGTTTCTTATACAAAGATTTTTTTTAATGCACATAGAATTATAGAAAACATGTTGGCAAATGAAAACTCATCCTTAGCCACAATCTATGTATTTTTTTAAACTTCAGAAGGAAAATTACACTCTCGAAAAAGAACACACTGCTATGTTAGAGTTTATAAGTATCGCCAAAGACTTGAATTCATCTTCTTCAAGTAAAATGAAACAGAAGGCACCTCAGGTCCCAAGTGGCTACACCTAGAATCAACCCCAACTGGGCCACCTGAACAAAGTAACAACCAAACACGGCAGTCCACAGAGCAACACTTGTAGTACATGAGACCCTGCCACCCCCAAGTGGCTCACCCCGCTGTACAGATGTCAGACGACACAGCTAACCCGGCTAGGACATATGGGGCAAAGACAAGAAGTGCGAAGGAGGGCCTCCCAGGCGTGCGGAGCGCAGTCAAGCTGAGTGTCCGTGTGACAGGAAGATAGAGGCCAGCGGGGCTTCTGAAGAATATAGCTGGCAAATCCCAGCCAGGGTTCTCAACAGTGACTTGTCCTCCCGATGTTCCTTCAGACCACACAAACAATCCTAAAGGCTCGCTGCAGGCGGCTCTTGGGCAGTATGGGGATTCCTGATCCCCCACTTTCACCACTGGTTGCACTACTCTTGTTACCTGAAGTTCCCTTAAAAGGTGAGAGCATTTCCTTACTTAACAAGAGATAAACTTAAGAAATACAGAAACCTGGTGCAACTGGGTGGCTCAGTTGGCTGGGCATCTGACTTGATTTTGGCTCAGGTCATGATCTCAGGGTGGCGGGATGGAGCTCTACATCAGGCTCCAATGCTCACTGGGGAACCTGCTTCTCTTGTCCTCTGCCCCTCCTCCCCCACCCCATTCATGTACACACACTCTCACTCAAATTAATGAACACATCTTTAAAAAAAAAAAAGAAATACAGAAATCTACTTAAATTCATTTATAACAAAGTAAAATTAGAATCATAATAACAGTTCTCAAAGTTAAAGTATTTTATGGGCACCTGGTGGTAAAGTTGATTAAGAGTCCAACTCCTGATTTTGGCTCAAGTTGTGATCTCAGGGTTGTGGAATCGAGGCCCACATCAGGCTCTGTGCTCAGCAGGGAGTCTGCTTGATACTCTCTCCCTCTACCCCTCCCTTGTTTGCACACATGCACACACGCATGGTCTCTCTCTTTCTCTAATAAATAAATCTTTAAAAAGTTATAGTTTTTTTTAAGTTATATTCTTTTAGATGTTTTCGTTTTTTCTTTTAGAGAGGTGAGTGCAGGACAACTAGGGGGAGAAGAAAAGGAATCAGTGGGCCACAAACCAAACTTTGGTGACTTCATAACTTGGTCTAGGGTGGCCCATTCACATCTAACCAGGGATGATGTATTTGGTATAGAGAATCTCTTACACATTCAGACATATATTCATACTCATTTTAGGAGAAAAGATGATCACTAATCTATGACACATGCTAATAACCATATACTCACCATATGACCCAACAATTTCACTCCTAGGTATTCCCCAAGAAAAATTAAAATATATCCACACAAACACTTGTACCCGAATGTTCACAGTAGTGTTATTCGTGAGTCAAAAATTGAAAATAGCTAAATGTCTATCAACTGATGAAAGATTTTTAAAAAAGTGTTACAACAGACAGGAACAAACAATTGACACATGCTAACATGAATGAACTTCCAAAGCATTACACCAAACATAAAGGACTGCATATTGTATTTCTATATTTCCATAAAATATACAGAAAAGGCAAATCTATAGAGAGAGACAGAAAGCAGATCCATTATTGCCTAGGGCTGGGCAAGGGAACAGGACTAACTACAAACAAACATGTGATGGAAATATTCTAAAAATTGGACATAATCCAGCACTCATTTGTGAGAAAAATTCTCAGCAAACTAGCAACAGAAAGGAACTTCCTCAACTTGATAAAAAGCACCTATGAAACACTACAGCTAAAATCACACTTATCCGAACAATAGGGAAGGCTACAAATGAATGGGGTTTGGGAGCACATGGGAAATCTGTATTTTCCACTCAATTTTGCAGTGAACCCAAAGGAATATAACATAAAAACAAAATCTTACCATTTGCAATGACATGGATGGAACTAGAGAGTACTATACTGAGTACAATAAGTCAGTAAGAGAAAGACAAATACCATACGATCTCATTCATATGTGGAATATAAGAAACAAAACAAATGAGCAAAGCGGGCGGAAAAGAGAGAGAAGCAAACGAAGAAACAGACTCTTAACTACAGAAAACACACTGCTGGTCACAAAAGGGGGGGTGGGAGGGAGGCTGGGTGAAACGGGTGATGAAGATTAAGGAGTGCACTTGTCATGATGAGCACCAGTGATATACGGAAATGTTAAATCACTCTACTGTACATCTGATACACTAAGATAACACTGTATGTAACTAACTGGAATTTCAGTTAAATTCTTTTTTTTAAAAAAGGCTCTTTTTTTTTTTTTTAATCATACTTACTGGTAAAACACTGCTTTCCCCCATGATCAGGAACAAGGCAAGATTGTCTGTTCTTGCCACTCTTACTTAACACGGTGCCAGAAGTTCCAGACAGTGTAATCACACAAAAGAAAGAAACAAAAGGTAGAGAGAGTAGAAGGAAGAACTAGAACTGTCCCTACTTGCAGATGACATGATTGTCTATATTAAAAAAATCTCAGGGGAAAAAAAATCTCAGGGAATCCAAAAAAAACTCCCAGACCTCATGCATGAGTTCAGCCAGGTCACATGTTATAAGATCAACACACAAAAGCAATCATATTTCTATATGCTAACAACAAAAAAGTGGAAACTACAATTTAAAACACCATTTAAAAGTGTTCCAAAGAAAACAAAATGCATCCCGGCTGCTGGGCCCATGTGTCCTGTGGCCAGTCTGCAGACCATGCTGAGTCAGTGCTGCTAGGCCTAAGCCTCGCGAAGACTCTCACCACCGTCCACCCAGCTCGGCCCCAAGATGCTGGTGGACCTCAGAAGGCAGCCTGGGCCCCTGAGACCACAGGAGGTAGAGGAGCAGCTGCAGCATCCACTGCAGGTCAAATACAGCAGGGCCAAGGTTGGTACACTGCGCAACGTACTGACGCCCATCCAGGTTAAGAACCAGCCCATCAGTATTGCACGGGATAGCCTTGATCCAGGTAAATGCTGCACCTTGGTCATGACAGACTCAGATGCTCCCAGCAGGAAGGCAATCTGCCAGGTGCCCAAACACAGGCAATGGGACTATTTTCTGGGGTCAACACACGGGGCAACGACATGAGTAGTGGCACAGTTCTCTTCCATTACATGGGATCTGGACCTCCCAAGGCCGTCACCCTTTACTTCCGGCTGGTTTACATGCAGGATGGGCCACTGAAGTGTGATAAGGCCATTCTCAGCAAACAATATGGAGACCACTGCAGTAAATTCAAAGTGGCATCTCCCCACAAGAAGTATGAGCTCAAATCCCTGGCAGCCTGCACCTGTTATCAGGTTGAATGGGACAGCTGTGTGACCAACTCTGTGAGCAGCTGTCTGGGAAGTGGACGGACACCAGGAGACAGAGACAGGCAGTGCCCAGCATGCTCTCAAGCTCAGTGATGCATGTAGATTTCTCCCCTTCCCCGCTCCCATTCTCACAGGCAAGACCTGAGCCATCAGATAGTGGTTTAGGGTGACTTTTCCTTCTCCCTGTCCTCTGTGATTCTACACGGTCACACTCCTTATGTTTTGATCAAATCTAATCCTCCATTTTGGAGGACTAGCAACCCAGAATTTTTTTTTTTAATTTTTTTTAATTTTTATTTATTTATGATAGTCACACACACAGAGAGAGAGAAAGAGAGAGGCAGAGACACAGGCAGAGGGAGAAGCAGGCTCCATGCACTGGGAGCCCGACGTGGGATTTGATCCCGGGTCTCCAGGATCGCGCCCTGGGCCAAAGGCAGGCGCCAAACCGCTGCGCCACCCAGGGATCCCGCAACCCAGAATTTAAAGAAGAAAAAATTCAGGTGAAAAGACCAGGTCTACAGTAATAGAGCAGAACATCAAAGAATCTTTAAGGGAGGTTTAAAAAAAAAAAAATGGATTCACTGCCTCTGTCTTTATGAGCCTGAGTCCAGAACTGTGCATAATGGCATCTTGTGGGTCACGTTTTCTCAACAGTGTCTCTCACACCACTAGCCCCCAGTGTGTTACATCTAGGACTGATTACTGGGGGCCAGTGTCTCTGGTTCCTTTAAAGAGCGGTACTGGAAACAGCAATAGGGAGAGTCGCTTTGTGGTTCAGGCGCAGCTATCTAGATAAGCTGCAGGCCTGGGTGAAAGGCGGTCAGAAATCCCCAAGCCTGCACCTCTTAAATTGATCACTCTTTACTCGTGGAAAAAAGCCAGTTTGGGGTTTCAGAAAGTTGTATTAATTCTGCTACTTGCTTATAGTCGAATAAAAATGAAAACATTGTGTAGAACCAAAAAAAGAAAGAAAGAAAATAAAAGGCTTAAGTAAAAATCTAACAAAATGTGTACAGGATCTGTGTACTGACAATTACGAACCACTGATGAAAGAGATTAAAGACAACTTAAAGGAGTGGAAAGATGTGCTTTGTTTATGGGCTGAAAGACACGACACAGACAAGATCACAGTTTTCCCAAAACTGACCTACAGACATAGCACAATCCCCATCAAAACCTCAGCATGTTTGTAGACACAAATGAACCTATAATGAAATGTATGTGGAAAAGTAAAGGGCCTGTCTAGACCATTTGGAGGAAGAAAAAAATGGGAAGAATCTCTTTAGCCAATGCTGAGGCTCACTACGTGGCCACAGTAACCATGACAGTGAGCTCCGGCGGACGAACAGGTAGAGGGGCCAAAGAACAGAACAGGCC